GAAGTGGACACCGGCCTCAGCCTGCAGAGACATCGGACACACCCGGAGGGCGGGGGGGGGGGGCGGGGGGGGGCACATTACCGGCGGGACCCAGGCGCACCTCGTAGGTTTCCAGAGGTCGGTGACTTCCGAGGCCAAAGGCATCGCCGCTGGATCTCAGGCCGCCTGGCACCGGGCACACCGGGCGTTGCCCACACGCGAAAATCTCAAGGGCACAAGCGGCCTGCACGTGCAGAAACAATTGAGATCAGACAGCCGAAAGCCTGAAAAGCCAAAGTAACACGACCCACCTTCCTTCAAGTTAGATCCAAATGCCCGACCTGGCAACGGCCATGCTCTGCCGTCGCCGGGAGCTTTGCCGTCCAGCAGGCCGTGAAGGCGGCACTGCGACGCCTTCCAATGGGACTTGGAAATGGGTAGTTTTCAAAATTAGGGTTCCTTTTGGGGTCCTTCTTATAAGGGTGCCGTACTATATTGGGGACTTAAAAAGGGACCCTAATTTAGAGAACTGCCCAGATGCAGAGGCGGCTTCGAACACCAATTGGAGGGTTCCGAGCTCTTGCCTTGAGCAGAGAGGCGAAGAGTGCCCTGACGGAGCCACATGCAACAGTGATACGCCATGATAGACCGACTACACCGCCCAAAAATCAAGCTTGCCAGGCCTGTTGTCCTTCCAGTACACTCGCCGGTAATCCCTTTCCCAAAGATGAAAGAACAGGTTCTCTTTGGGAGCATAGACATCCTTTGCAAGAAAGCGGAAGAGGCCAGTGACGCTCCGCAGTTGCAACCACGAAAAGTATCCTATCAGAAACTCCTGGCCCAGGGTCGAACTTCTACCTGCTCTGTCGCACCAAGGAGCCCAGCCATGTGTGTACAGACGCACGGCCATTGATATCTCTTCGCCAAAGAACAGCCTTGGGTTGAGCACTCATGGCAGGCTTCTGTCTCCACGGTCTCCAGTCACGGCGACGAACTCAAAATTCAAAAACCAGGTCAAGGTACATCTGGAGCTGCGGATCATATGGCACCTCACACAGGACCTCTGCCGAGGAGAACGAGAACTGGGCGCCCCAGAAGTAATGCTTCCTTGGAATCTCAAGCTCAAAGACATGTCAAGCGAGCCCTGTACACTCGGTACAGCCGTTTCAAAGCTGCTGCAGAGATGCGTGGGCTCCGACAGCGGCGCCTTGAGCTCCCTCGCCTTGATCAACAGGATTCCATCCGAGTCGAAGGTGTTCGCACAGTTCCTTAGCTTAGGTCCCCCTGCTTGGGGCGACGGCTAGTCAATGTTGAAACTAAAGCCTTGGCAGTCAATTCTGAACTACTGTACTACTTAACCACGACTGAAGACAGTTGAGCTTCATGCTCACCGGGACGTTGCCTTGGGGAATCTCGGAATACGGTGTGCCTGCGCGTCACCACTGCTTCCCCAGATGCACTGGAGCGCAACTCTGAAACGATCGGGCACACAAAGAAAACACTTTATGACGACCGAAGCTGAGTTTGGCGAGTTGCCCAAGGAGTAACCAGGTCCGTAAGTGCAGAGTACTGGTTTCTCCTCAGTAGAAAGGCAAGCTGGTTACAGTAGCCAGTAACCCTTTGTCTCGAATGTGACCTGCCTGACCTGCCTCAATCATGTCAGCATCTTGAAAGTGGATCAGTGTGAAAGGGAAGCTCCCCGATCCCTCGTCAAGCCAGGCTTGGACAAAGCGACTAAGCTGCAAGCGAGTGGCTGAGTGCTTGCCACACCACGCGAGCTCTTCGCGTGCTTTATCATCCCAACCTGGTCAACACTTCCACTCGCCGTATTGGCCCTAGACAGCTTCTGCTTCCCTCGAACGCGACTCACAGCATCACATATTCCAGACACAAGAGCAACGACAATCCAAGTTCGTCTTGCCAAGAGACCCGGCACAAAGCGCATGTGGCTGTCCAGTTGCAGGTACAGCTCCTCCCCGCTCCAAAGCAGCCTTGCGAGCTCCACCCATGAACTGAGTCAAGCGAGTACATAAAAACACATGCACATCGCATGGACCTGTGTTTTACATAAGATGTATGCACAGATAATGACACCCATACCAAACCTCTGCATGTTCTACACACTGGGGTCATCAAAGATTCCAAAATTCCGGTTCGATTATGTCCGACAACAGATCGCCTGAATCACATTTTGTGGAACTACAGTGACAGGTAACTAGGTGTAACGTGCGGATGTAATACTGTGGTCATAGCAATGGGCGCAGCTGCTAAACTGAAAAACTACCTATTCAAGCACGACCAGAAGAAAACAGTAATTCAGAAACTGTTCCGCCTCCTGGCTTCCGTGATGCCAACGATTTAAGTCTACAGTTCTGATCTCACTGAAAGCAGATGTCTACCGTGAAACACAATAATATCAATCCCTGAGTTTGGTCGTCTTGCATGCTTGTCAAGCTTGGTCGCTGCGCCAGGTACCGTGCCCAGCAGGGCCCACGGGCGGCCTGGAAGCTTTCAGCCATGATACTTTTGAAGCATTACCAGCATGTCGCTGTCTGTTCCAGGCAACAGGACGAGACTAGACGAAGTTCTGCGAACAGTCCGCCGGCTAGACTAAATGTAACCAAACATTCTTCTCGACCTGCTACTGGATCTGTGTTTTGGGAAGGCTAGCTTAGCCAGTTTGAATGAATCCCCTGTTCAAAGAAGAGCCCTTGCAGTTGACGTGCCTCTGGGGTCATGCGTAACGACCGAATGCGACCGCCCATCATCTCCTTGGCAGAGCAGATGAATCATGGATCTACGAACATGGATCTGATGCAACTCACGTGCCAGGTCTTAACCAAGGAAGTATGCTAGCATGGGTGCACAGTTGCACCGAACCCATGCCCGGCCCTCAAGAATACGGTCCTGTTTAAGCACACCTCGACCGGCTGGCAGCTGCAATGCTACAAGTCATCACAAACCACCTGGTTCGCGCTTTCATTCCTCGTCGGAGCTTGAACGGAGCCATTTCAAACACTCCAATCGCGAGCATCCTGCTTGCGAGACGGCTCCGCCAACAGACATCTCCATATCTGGTCACACTGAGAAGTTCGAAAATGCTGGCCCCGTAGGGAGTCTGGCTTTAATTAGGGGCTCCGTCTCTGCCTTCAGGTCGTAGTCGGAACCATGTTTGAAGCTCTCCACATAGAGCACATAGAGCAGTGGATCCAGATAGCTGGACACATGGCTTGCCAAACCACCCTCTCTTGCATCAGCAGCTTCGAGTCCTTGATGCAGCCCGGGGGAGCAGCCCGGTGAGTCGATCAGGTCACCAGCTCCTTCTTTGGGATCTCTGTTCGGCCGCTCTTTCGGCTAGTCTGTTCCCTTGCCAGCTTCAACGCCTCGTCCGGATCGCTCTCTGGCTTCTGTGCCTCCTTGGGTGCCTTGGCCCACTTGCCGTCAAGCTGTGGCTTTAGCCCATCAGGCTCTGCACTGCCATCTGTCAGTCGAGCTCGAGCCGGTCGATGTAGTGGGCTCCGCCGCCTTAAAGGCATACGTTAGTCTGTCGCGCCAGGTCGTCGCGGACCACCATCAGCAAGCGGTCACTCCTGATGTAAGTCCTTACACGCTGGAGTGCGATGCCGAGCTCGGGCGACAGGACATGTGCGTCAGATCATGCAAAACCGTCGCCAGACACATTCGCGCGAAGCACGACCTCTGGCGTCCTGTACACTTGCTGGATGTAGAATGCTGTCTGGCTTGGCAGACCTTTCTCACCGCCTTTGGCCACCACGCGGTCAAAGCTGTCACTCATCGTAGCGGATGAGAATGTCAGCCAAGCTGTGGCCGCGGAATTTGGCCACAACCTCCTCGTCTCGTGCCCTGGCCGTAACAATTAGCTGCTGAAGAGGGAGCAGATGGGGCAGCTGGCGCTTCGCCAGTGCTTCTACGCGGCTGGGTATCCCGAGTCCAAAGTCGCTGTGTCCGCATCCACACACCACCATAGTCTGGTGGTGGCTTTCCAAGAGGCCGACGATGACTTTCGCGCAAACAAAATCCTTCCAGCATTGGGCGGGGAAGATCTGCCGCCCTCGCGTAGCGACTTCCCCAGTCTCATGCTCGGAAACTGGCGCCCCAGCGATCATAGCAGCAAAGAGCCGAAAATGATCTGCCAGAGTGTCTGGGCCCATCAGCTTGTGTAGTTCTTCCATTTCCCTCACCTCGGGCACGGCCGTGACTGCAGCGAGGCTGGTATCCGATAACAACTTGCTTTCGCCGAGACGCATCCATGGATCCCCGGACTGCCTCTCTGGCTTCAGCTCGACTTGGAAAGCCCGCCACAAGCCGCACCTTTGCTTGCGCAGCAGCTGTAAGTAGTGGCTCGTAGAGCCCAATGTCCTCAGCCGGGGCTACGCAAGGAAGGATCAGATGCTGCCCCCAGATGTGAATTGGAGCAACCGGCATTGAGCCATATTGAGCCCTGGGCAAATTCACCATTCTGGGCCTCATACTCCTCCACGAGCTCATGCGGATCGTCCTGCCCCCATCCTCGAAGCAGGCTGGAGTCTTCAGATCATGCGCAAACAGGCAAGGCGACAACAGGCAAAGCCGCCCAGACTCGATCCAGAATGTGCTGCTGTTGGGCAGTGAAGTGCTCCAGCACCAAAGCAGTCGGAGTTGCTGGGTTCGCCTCGTGTCACTATTGGAGAAGTGTGAAATTGGAGATGAGGCATGCCACCTGACCTCCAGCCACTTTTGCAAGGCTGCCAGCTGTGCGGTGCACACTGCAGGTTCTTCGTGACCTGAGACAGCAGTGAGGTCGGCCAATCAGACTATCGAAACTTAAACTTGCTTGGTGGGAGGTAAGGCTTGTATCATCTGCAAGGTCGATTCACGCGGCAGCTGCAGCTCTTGTCACACTCACCAGGACTTGCCACATGCTAGACAAGCACCCTTTAATGCCCTCAGACCAAGCAGGGGACGCTCTCCGAAGTACACCAGCCGGCGACCCAAAAGTCGGTCCCGGTCCCAGCCGTGGCCCTCGAAGTGCCAGCCCGCACCTGCAGAGGTGAAAAGACGCTCACAGCCCGTGGCAGAAGCTCGGTTCTCGAGGCGTCATGCTGATGCCCCTGCAGTCAATACTCCTGCTGTTTGGTGCTGTAGCTGGTTGGAGTATCGTGGATATGCTGAAGATCATCACCCTCGAGATGGTGAAGGCAGTGATCGTCGGCATCGCCGGCATCGTCGTCGTCGTCAATCGTCTTTGGGAAAGCCGCAAAAAAACACTGTTATCATTGTGGCTATCTCTGCTATCTTTGTCAAGAGTATTGTCATCATCCTCAGTAACAGAAGCAGTAGCAGCAGCAGCAGAAGCAGCGGGAATAGTAGTACGTGAACTAATACAGTCGTAGTCGTAGTAGTCCTGGTAGTGAGGCCTGCAGATGCCAAACCGCGGCCCCAGCCGCGGCCGCCAATCCGCAGAGACAAGGGCACCCGTCTGCAAGTAGTCGCAACCAAAGAAGCTCCGATCGCAAGCATCTACGATGGACTCAGGCAGGTTCTTGAGCCGATCTACAACTTTATATTTGCTCTATGGCCCTGCAATCATCGCTGCGCAGAGTCCACGCGCATCGTCCGTGCTAATTTCCCAGAGGCATACCTCGTCCCCTCTTCCCCTTTCCCTGACACGGCTGGTATTATGGCAAGGCTCCCAGACGGGCAAGCTGGCATCATCGGGCAGCTCAAGATGTTCGACGACTCGATCCTAAGCTCGTCGACAGCTTGTTTTTGCATCAAGTAGGCCCATAAACCGACCACGCGTCATCGTTTCAACTGTCGAACCTGTGTGCCGTGAGTGCAAGCACTGCCTGGACGAGGCACCTCCGCGTAGCTTCTGAGGTTCCATAGATTCGCCAATCTCAGCAACGAGTGGCTGGCTGCGCACACAGCCAAAGCCCACCCCCTCCTTCAATACTTTATGTAAGAACACACTTTAAAACCAACAACAACAAATACTGAAATACTAAACAGACCTTAAAACCAACAACAAAAAATACTGAAATACTAAACACACTTTAAAACCAAGAACAAAAAATCCTGAAATACTAAACACACCTTAAAACCCAACAATAAAGAAGAAATACCCGGTTTCTCCAAGACGTCGGGCGGCTCTTCCATGTCCAGAGGCTCCAGGCCGCTCCCGGGCCCCTGCCAAACCTGCAGCCGAAGTTACTCCGCTTAGGGCGAGGGGTTTAGGGTTTAGGGTTTAGGGTTTAGGGTTTAGGGGTTTAGGGGTTTTTGGTGGGTTTAGGCCTAAACCCTAAATCCTAAACCCAAGTCCTCTGATTCCTCCTGTGTCTTCCTTTGAAATGGCAAAAAACGTCAGAAGTGCTGCCGCGCAGCTATCCCAAATCGAATCAGCTCCGGCCGCGAAGCCGCGGCAATTAACGACCTGTGCATCATGCATTTTCGCACATCAGGGATCCTTTGACGGTAAAGCGAAAAGTGTACAGACTTGTACTGAACCACTGAAACCACGGGACTGCATAGTGGCAGGCAGCTCTGGGTCCGCATATGCGGCTATAGAGACAAAGATTTGCCCATCCTCGGAGACCGGTGTGCCGAGATCTTTTTTGGTCGGCTGGATCTGCAACAGCACATGACAAACCCCTCCCGCTCTGCTCAACTCTGCAACGAGCTACTTTGGCCACTTCGGCAGCACCGCCGGCCGCACGTGCAGGAAGGCCTCCAAAACATCGATGCCACTCTTCCTGATCAAAGCCCCTTTCCCGCATGTCGCGTCCTTGCCTCGCGCCGAGGAACTGCCAGGCCTCGCCTGGCCGAAAGCTTAGCAGCTGTTGAGGTTTTATGCCCTTACTACAGCGTTCCTCCCGGAACCTAAACCGCGCCGGGCACGCCGTCCAGGCATTAACAAAGGAGATGCTCCAGTGCCTGGGCTGCTTCATGCCAGAACGGAGCACGTCTACACGAGGAACCCTTGCCGAGATTTCACAAGTTGTGCTGCCAATATTCGCGAAAATCCCGCAGGCCGCAAGAAAGGCGGCGAAAACTGTTCGAGACCTGATGCAGGTGGCTAACTACTGACCAGTGTAATTCTGCAAATGCAAACACACAAAGTGACAAAGCCTGGCGCTACTTTGCCCAACCGCACAACACACAAGGCCTCCCGGTCGTCCGCATCGATCCCCGGAGACCCCAGGCCATGGCAGGAAGCGAAAGCGGAAACAAAGCAACTGCCTGGATCGCTGTGTGCAGTGTAGGAGAACTGCTGACTCTCCACCGTGGCACAGCTCACGTGAACAAACAAAGCCACTCTCTCATCCTGTAACAGGCCTGGCAAGCAGAAAATCAGCAAGCTTCGTTACCAGCAAGCACACGGTATAGAGCTCAGGCAGAGGTGCTGTCGACGCAGTCCAGTTCTTTTCACTCGGGTGCCGTAAACCACATTGTTAGGGCATAGCGGTCATGTTGGGCAGCCAGAACCTGGTGTGCCAGGTCCCGACAACGGAAAAGTACTAAGGAACCGCCTCGCGGCCAAACCTTGGATAGACATCACGGCATCAGCGAACGTCTTGACGAAAGCCCAAAAATAAAACAGCTGAGAACGAGGCATCTACGAATCCAGAGTCACCGCCGCTCATGTCTTTGGAGCGGAAGGCTCGAAATGCACCGGCGTAGGACTCCTGTTTCGCAGATGAACGCCACTCACAAAATAAATACCGGCGGCAGCGCCCCACAGCTTTCAACACCGAATGCAAAGGGGCTCCTCCCATTCTCGCTCATTCAGATAGAGAATGGCAGTGAATCGCCTGCCCATCTGCATTCTGCGCACAGATGCTACACACATGTCATACATGGCTTTCGTGCTCATGCAAGCAGCCCATCCTTGAGGAGATCATCTGCTTCTGGTCCAAAGGCATGTCCACGTCAAGGTCTGCCATCGAGGACCCGTCGGTGTGCGCAGCATAGCCTGCTGAGCCTTCGGCAAAGCACGCGAGCTGCGCATGTGGAGTTGGGCCGACCCTCTTGCCGTCGACCGGGCAAATCTCCGCGAGGCGAGAGCAAACAGCGACCAGAAGATCGATGCCAGTGGCCATTCCACGAAACCCATGCAGTTCGCAGGAACTTCTGTCGATCAAACGATAGGAATCCTCGCGACCTTCTTGCCATCTGTTCCTTACCAAGACTATGGATGCTGCTTTGCCGGCCGGCATCATGCACGAGTTGGACCATAGTCCATTTTGTGGCATCTGGGCCTAGATTTCTGATACAAATTCCAAGCAAGACTCCAGTAAGTGGAAGGCTGCAGTATCTTTCGCAGCACTTTCGCCTTCCAGCAGGTTGAGGCCGCCGTTCTAGAGACGAACTGCCGAGACTTGATACAGATGCTGTCGTTCGTGAGATGCCAGGCTAATCCTTGCTCTCAGAAACTCTGAAGGTATTGGAGGGCCTCCTGGTGCAGCTGGTCGCTGAGCCTGGGCCCCAAGATGTTGTCCAGGCAGACCAGGCCACCGAAGTCACCTCGGTCTCATCGCTCGGTCTCGCTGTCGCTGTGTCTCGAGAAGAGTACCATATCCGGCCCGGGCCCTCTGCGGGCCTCTACGGGCCCTCTGCGGGCCTTTACGGGCCCTGCTCGCTGTACGGGCCTTACGGGCCCTACGGGCTCTACGGGCCCTGCGCGGGCCTTGCACGGGCCCTGTGCGGGCCCTGCGGGCTCTACGGGCTCTACGGGTCTTTGCGGGCCTTTACGGGTTCTGCGGGCCTACTGGTTTTCTGACTGGTTGTTGTAATACCACGATAAATACTAACTACTACCACTAACAACTACAAGTACCTTCAAACATATGATGCAAAAAGCCGGTGGCTCCAGACCACTTCTAAACCCAC